TCCACCCCCACCCCGGAGCCGTATGAGGCACGTTTTATTATGATGCGCATGCTTTATTTGACGACTTGTGGACTGTTCAACTGCAACACCCGCTGACTGCAATGATAGAGCTTGGAATAGCCAGGACAATTTTTAATATAACTCCGACTGGATTCGTCTGAAAGAAGAAAGTCATATACACCTATGGATGCTTCGAGGCTGAGTAAAACACAAGCTAATTTTCATTTTTGGGTGAACTAACCTTTTAAGTGTGACACTAGAAATACATCCAAAATAAGATATCTAAGATTTCTTTTATAACTTAATACAAATTTATTTCTACATCTTTTTTGCACAACATCGTTCCAAAGCAACTTCAATTGTTTAGAAAATTGAGTCTGTATCTGAAGAGCTAAATCTGAAATGCATATGAATTTTCAATGTATTCTTAAAACAGAAAAATAACTTAATGGGATGAAAGTCTATTAAACTTTTTAGTCTCAGAATTTAAACTCCTCATTCAAAGTGTGATTGAGTGGAAATTACAGATTATAAGCTCAATCTTTATTTTAAACTTCTTCTATCTGTTCTCCTCATGTGTTTGTTGTTGAGACAGATGTTGTGGAGTCACTGTCAGTGATGGAGGGAGATTCTGTCACTCTACACACTGGTGTTAAAGTACAGGGAGATGATCAGATACTGTGGGAGTTTGAAGATCAAGTCATCATTATTGCTCACTTAACCTTTTAACTGTCGCCCTCACTAGTTGAGCTCAAACACAAACATGACCTACACAAACTAAAACAGTCACAGTTCATGAACCCTCTGGACTACAAACAGAACTATGGGCTCTTTAGAAAGATGCTTTTCCTCAGTTTCATGTTCAAGGTTCAAAATTAAATACCTTACATTAGAAAAACGGTAAGAGCAGCTTAACTATTTTATAAAGTATTGCTCAATTAATTTAGAATAAGAGATATTTAGGAATAACTATATCAAATTGTGCCAGGGTAATTTACAAAAGCAGTGACATTAAAGCCACACGCCTGCAGAAGATATAATTGAAATTGGAAGGGGCACCACTAAAAATGAGATTCCTTCTTAATAAAAGTAAACCATAAATATGAGGACAAAACACAATACATCACTATTTACAACTGAATACAGATGTTGAAGACGCAATTTATTAACAGAAACAGTGATGGTACACATTTACAACTGTTCATACAGCATTTTGCATCCACCAATATACTTTTCCCTCCAGTCTTTGCCTGTTTATAAAAGGTATAGTTGAGCAGAGGATGTAAGTCTTCTATATGTGCGTAACCATTTGATTGCAGCAGAAAACTGAATTCAACGTGGGCATATTAGACATGTAGCATTGTATTGGTACAGCACACTACCACGTGTAGCTCTCTCAGCTATATGGTGAAGATTAGGTTGTGCAGGTTTGGATGTCACAACAGTTGGTGGTGCTGTTAGAATGTTCTGAATGACTGTCCAATCAGCACTGTGCCGAGAACGCTGGGGGGCGGGGTTATTCTTTACATAAGACTCTAGAAAACATAGGCCTAATATATCATTGTACTACTTTCACAACTTTAACGTTTACTAGAATTTACTAGAAAACTGACGAGGATTATAATTCTGTCTCAAGCTGTTGTTACGTAAACGAAGCAGAATTTATTGATATTCCTCTTAATCTAGCACTTTTGGACTAAAAAGTCCCAATTTATTTTATTCTCTGCATTGTTACGGTTAAAGCGGTGCAGATGTTTGTATAATATAAACTATCTGTCATCTTTACTGGACAGAAATAGTTCAGAACTCCCCGTTTCGATGTTGCGTGTATTGTTGAGAACTCTTGCTATGAATGAAAATTATGTCACCTCTACGACATTACAATCAGAAATAATGGCGCTCAAGCCTTTAAACTTTAACTTGATGTATTATTTGTAAATATTAATTACAATTTTGATGGTAAAATCATGTAGTAAAAGTAAACTAACAAACATCGGACCCAGCCATGGTCTCGAGCAAGTTAACAGATTAAACGGCCCTGATGATGCAAAATGGAGAAACATTCATCTGAACGATCAAACCCGAGACCTCGTCATCAGCAACATCCGAAGCGATCAGACTGGAGTTTATAAAGTGGAGATCAACACCATCAGCATGGTCTTGCACAGAAAATTCTATATTGCTGTTGGTGGTGAGTAGATTCTATAAATTCTATCATATTTTGAAATCATAAACATCTTAAAGATATTTTTTTAAACGTCTATATAACATTTGACAGGATGAGGTCTGACGTCTTAGAGATAGCAGATGATGCAGGTGTCCATTGCCATAATAACTTATGCTATGAGCTGTCATAAACTTTGGGTTTGACAGAGATCATTTGTGTTGTGAACCTGTCTAAACAGGGTAGATCTGTTTGATTTTGCAACATACTTCCAGAGAAAGTCCTCGGGATGTATTACCACACATGAGTGGATTTGATTGAAAAGCCATCTCAAACAAAACTCTTAATATATTTAAAAGATGTGATGACACTAACCTTGCAAATCCTGTGACTATTTCCTTCTCAACAGCACTTGTTGCCTTGTAAACACAACTTTGTTTCCAGGCAAATAAAACCAGCCAATCATATTAGAGCTTTCTCAATCAAGAAAGTGCTTTCAAAATTGTGTGTGCAATGTGCATCAGATGGTTAATCCATGGACGTCCAGCCTGAGGTTGAGACTATATCACAGCCAATGGCAATGATCAAATTTAAACCAGTGCATTCATATCAAATAGTCACATGATTTTTTTTTTTAAATGTCATTTGGTCAAATTATAAAATTGTGTGCCATTACCTATCAAAATTCAGTAGCCAATGACCACTCGAAACAAACATGCTCATTTTGTTTGTGCATTTCACCTCTGGAGTCTGATAATAGAGTGTCAGGGTTATTTTTTTCCCAAAGAGCCATCTGTTCTTTACTTATCTCTAAAAAAGAACTATTCATGTTTTTAATTATATGTTCTCCATATGTGTTTGTTTCTGTGACAGGTGGTGTGAAGACAGTATCAGTGATGGAGAGAGATCCTGTCAATCTACATACTGGTGTTATTGAAATACGGGGATATGATCTGATACTGTGGAAGACTGAAGGCAATCTTGTGGCTGAAATCAATAAAGGCATCAATCTCTTTGGACCTAGAGACGTAGATGATTTGAGATTCAGTGGCAGACTACATCTTCATCGTGAGACTGGAGATCTCACAATCAGTGACTCCAAAACCACAGACTCTGGAGATTATCGTCTACACATGAGCAACAGTGCATACACCTTACAGAGGACCATCAGAGTTACTGTCAAGAGTGAGTAGATCAAATATTTTTTGCAGAAATTCTGATTATGAACATGCCTTGGTTAACTTTGAACTCTGCAAAAGCTATGCCTTTTTTGTTCTATTTTTTATAGTGCTGATGTTTCTAGTGTTTGTTATAGATCAGACACATTCTCATTAACGACTGTCTCTCTTTATCATTACAGCTCCACCTCAGTCCGGTGCTGCATCAGGGATATGTGGTGCTGGTGTTGGTCTGGTGGTTTGGGCTGTAACTGTGTTTTTTGCTGCAAGATTTGTAGACAATGAAAGCAAAGGTGTAAGTACATTCAACTCATACAGTAAGAGCTAAAAATGAAATGATTTAGTATTTAAAAGAAATGAAAAGGCAAAGGAGATATTTTTTTCATTTGTTTGTTTCTACACACTGTAATTGAGAAAGTTTCTGTTTTTAATTTAAGTGTAATTAATTACTGTTGAAAGAATAACAGATGATTGATTTCCCTATTGTAAGTGTAGCGAAGAAGAACATAAGGGGAACTTATTATTATTAAAACTATTATTTATTCATTGCTATTTTCTTATTGTTTATTGTTTTTACTGTGATTCTTTCTGTGTTTTATAACAGGTTTCAGTGAGTATAAAGTGAATCAGGATGAAAAATGAAGAGAAACATCAGTTCATAATCATTGTAACAATATAAACTTGCTTTGCATGACATACTAATCAGCGTTTAATTTGTTTGTTTTATGTTTATATTTTGACATAAATCATGCTTTTTTTTTTTGTCTTATGCTTGACTATTTGAACAAGAGGAAAAATTGTAAACACCATAGTCTGAAATGTTCAAATTACAGAACCATTCATGACTTTTTCCAGTTAAATATAAAATAAATCAACATATGCCAAAATCTTTCACTTGTAAACCAGCAGGGCTTGGATGCTTGAAATTGGTGTTTTAGTGTAATCTTAAGGGTTTTTGGGATGCCATTCATGTGAACGTTTATGTTCATCCGGTGCTTATACAGATCTATGTACAAATACACAATAAAGTCAATCAAACTTGATAAAACTGAGACTATTTTATGGTGCCAGAGTGAACAGTGTGGATGGATTGTAAGTCGCTTAAATTGCCCAAAGCATGAAGAAAGATCAGGCAAACTGTTTAACATGTCTGATCAATAGGAGTGGCTCATTTGCTCTTTTACTTACCTTTAAAAACTAAATATGTTATTCGCTGACACTATCTCATCTGTCTCAACAGCAACAACAAAAAATAAAAATTCTAGTAATAAACATCACAAAACAAGGTAGTTAAAAGTCACAACAAAAACAACACAAAACTTAACATCTACCACAGTTTTATCATAGGTAGAATGCATTTCAATCAAATGTAATTTATGCAACATTTTAAACCTTCAACCCACGGGAGAAAATCAACCTGCCGCAAGTTTAAAATTAGCCCAATTCCGTGGAAAAAAATGCAGATTTGGCAACCCTGCATCCAACACCAGCTCATCCAAAGCGATTTAAATACTCTGCATATTGATGGTGGCTCCCTGATGCGCAAAGTACTATAAATGCAAGAGTTTATTGTGCTGCCCACACAAAAAAAAAAAAGTAATAAAAAAGTGCAAAATAATAATTTAGGGCACTCTATCCTTTAATACACAATTCTAAATATTGAATATTTTGGAGAATGAGATTTTTTATTTTATTTTTTTTTGGGTGATTATACAATTTTTTAAATATTCATGTAACCTAATGTGGCTCATTTTCTTAGTTCAATATATTTTTTTACAGCAAATACAAAATTTACAAAAACACATCTTCCAAATAAAACACTTTACTGCCAGTTTTCTTGAGCATACAAGCTTTAAAAAATGTACAGTACAGATAAAAAAAAAATCTTATTTCAAACATTTAACACTTCAACTTTTTTATAATTAGCTATTTGTAATGAAAAGGAAAGGTAAACACTTAAATGTTCATGAGAAAAAAAAATCATGAAATCTCATCAAACTGACAATAGCAGTTGGTACATCATCAAGATTTCTTCTTCTATACTGGGATAACATCACTGAAGAACGATATAATAAACTCAATCACATCATCAATAACTATGATTCCAACAGTTATGTGCTTGATGAATTCCTCTTCAGAACCTGCGTGCTTTAATAAAAACAAAGACATGCATTAAAAAGTGTGTTACATACGGTGCAATGCATAAAGAACGATTATACAAGGGGTCAAACTTATGCTCTATATTGCTTACTTGTCTTTTAATTTACTCATTAGTTCCTTTACTTACCAGTTTCCTTAACTGTAACATAAATGCTGTCAATTGTAATGGATTGGTATCAGAATATGACATTAAAATAAGTAATGCACCATTATCATTATAAATATTGATATTTTCTTAAAAATACATTAATAAAAAGATATGTTTTAAAACAAATGAAAGTGACAGAAATAAAAAGACTGTTTATTCTTGTTTTATAATACCAGGTACATTACTGTTTGGTGAACTTAGTTTTCCTCTCCAGTCCAGTTCTTCTGGATCTGATGTCATAAACTAGTACAACAACAGCTGCAACAGCAGCCACGCCCACCACAGCAGAGACGACCAATCGGATCACAGCTTCAGTCGTTTGACTCCTGTAGTAGTCACAGTCTGTAGAAAGAATAGTACTTCTTTTAAAACTGCATTAATCTCTTTCAAATAGACTTTGACATGTCTATTCATACTGGTTTAAGGTGTTAATAAGTGATACACTGTAAAGAGTTTCACTGATATCACCAAAGTTCTACCTGAACATGTCTGACAGAGTTGATCGATGTCCAGATGTTTGGTCTGGGTGCTGACAGGATTGTTCACTACACAGCTGTAGGTGTTTTTCTCCTGATATTCCACCTCCAGAGGTAGAGAGAGACTGATGCTGAGATCAGACACACTGATGCTGGACAATAAACTGTTTCCTTTGTACCAGGAGAGAGTCACATGACCCACATTCACCACTGAACACAGCAGCACACTTTTGAACCCTGATGATGATGATGATGAACACTGTGGAGAGTATCTGGTGATGACAGGAACAGGCACAGGAGCTGGAGAGTAAAAAAAAAAGAATAATCTAAGAATAAGTGACAGTATAGGTAAAAGGGGTGTTACTTAAACATTAAGTGCTATTTACATGTGTAATACTCACCATAAACAGTGACAATGAATTTAGTTTTTAACTCACTCGGTCCGAGATCGATACTTAGTTCATAAACTCCAGTGTGTTCATTAGTGATGTTTGTGATGGTGAGATCTCCAGTCTGTCTTTCGAGCTGCAGTCTGTCTCTGAATATCGTGATATTGTCTTTAGAAATGTCTCCCGCCTCTATTTTGATTATACGAGTTCTGCTCGATCCAAAGTGCCGCCGCCACTCAACCGTTTTGCTCTGGATTTCAGTGAGACCAGTACGGAGAGTGAAAGAATCTCCCTGCATCGCTGACACGGTTATATTTTTTGTCTCAGAGTCTAGAGATCAGAATTAAATGTATATGTAAATGTAAACGTAAACCTAAATATTTAGATAATTTAATGATTTAAACGATTTTGGCTTATATGCTAACACTAAGGCCATTAAAGGCCTACATTTATTACTCACCAATCAGAGGAAAAAAACATAAAAAGAACAAAACAAGCGAGTGAATCATTTTCTTCAACCGTTTGAGATCCGTTCAGTGGCTGATGAGTTCTGGAAAAAGAACTGATGTCGATTTCATGAAACACAACAGAATGGCTTAAATATCTTAAATAGTGTGTGTGGCCTAGATAACCTGCGGTGAGACGAGCAGATCTTCAAAAAATCTTCAGCCAATCAGAAAAAAAAACAAAAAAAACTTATTCAGTCTGCGTGCTTCCGTGAAGTTTGGCTTTATACCCCTTAACCTTTTAGAACACCAGATACCAGTGCATGAATTTTGTTTGATAAAAATCTAATCTGACTGTTTATGGATTCACTACTTTGTTTTATAATGTAGCCTATCTATTTTGTGAAGAGTGGAATTTTGTCTTGAAGGAAAATAATCTCTTGGTTGTTGCACGTAAATCAACCGCACACATGCAAAAGGAGCAAGACGTTTGTCCACTCAACAGAAGCCACATTCATTTGAGTCAACCTTCCACTAAACTGGTGTGAATTAAACTCAGACCACAACAGGTTTCACTTTGACTCAGAAACTGAGCTGCTAGAGTCTCAAAAGCAGTCAGTGCAAACTGTATTAATTATTTTTATTCCAAAGTAAAGCTGTTTTGAGGGAATGAGATTCATGTAAGAAGGCCTTCATACACACTACAAGCTCAAACAAATAGTTCACACTTTTTTTCTCTCTTGATTGTCTTCTCTTCATTTAGCTTCTCTTTGCTTTTATATACACACACTATTCTGAGTGAACTTGATTTGATCAGTTTGAGATCCAAGGTCATATCCTGCAGAGTTGACAGTTTCTCTCTTACCAGATGCAAAGTGACCCTTAATGTTGTTTAATTACAATTTTTTACTGATGTGCTTATTTATTTAGTTTTCTCTTAAACAATCAGACAGTGCCATATATATCCATTGGCCTGGATATTTTGGTACTGTCGTGACATTTTTTAAACGTCTTATTTCATGCAGTTTATGTTATTTTAATACCTAAATAAAACATCTCTCAAAAGTTGCAGGTTGGTCTGGTTTTGTTTTCACAGTAATCACACGTGATATTTACATTTTTTTATTTCTGATACTTAAAGCAATGTTTTTAAAACCTATTTCAGTTACAAATAATATATTTTTAATGTAGCCTATTATTCTTTTGTTTTTATTTTTTATTTTAGCATTATGCTGAATGTCTATACTGGATTATTGTGACACTTTTATTGCAAGGAATAATTCTTTATTGTTTGCAATAAAAATTAATTACAATCATATTTTTTTTACATATTAATACAGACTACTACCTCTTCTGTGGGAGTGGGTAATTTAATCTATATGGAACTTTCTATTTTAAACCAATAATAGTAGAAATAAAATCATTTACTACTCAGTGAATAAATGTGGATGTAAATTGTTTATCTTTATTTTATATGTCCATTTGTTGTCTTATCTTTGTGAATTTTTTCGTATGTAGCCTAGTGAAACTTCAACAAAACTTTCCACATTTACCATAGTGACTAATAATATGCAGAAGATCACAAACCTCGAATAAACAAGCATTTCCTAATTTTGATAATTCTAAGCAAGGTCGACTTTGGAACATTTCGAAATAGCAGGTCTATGACGCGACACACCCGCTTTCTCTAGAAACCACGTGACTTGGAAGGTTTGCTACGAGTCCATCATCAGTGTCCTGAATCAATGCTGTTGTAGTTTAGACGCGGTCAGAAGCGACATCAGTATGAGGAATAATACCTTCCTTTTTGGGGTTTTATTACTCGTGAACGGTGAGTAACACTTATTTTTTTATGTTAATTTAACATTTTCGTTTTCAATATAAATCGGAAACAGACTGTTACCTTCTTATTTTTTATATCTAGCTACAGTTTTTAAAAAAAAATAACAACTCAAACGTATCACTTTTTCATAAATATACGTTCTGACAAATCAAACACCAACACTGTAAGGGTATTTTTGGAGTTAGTTGTTTGTGCACGTGTGTGTTTAGTAGTGAACGCTAGAGGGCGCTGACGGCCTGTAATATTCTGAGCGTTACTATTTTACATAAAAACTGGCTGCAACACGAACGCATGTACTATTTAAACGAAACAGAACAGAAAAACAGAAATAAGTCACTCTCTCGATCAGTCAGTCAGTCTCTTGGACTTTAGTCCGGTTGAGTTACTGTCGCTCTCATTCAGGGTGCGGCCTACTAATAAAAGTAGGCCATTTGCCATAAACCACCATCAAGCTGTAATTATGGCTATTGTGCAACCTGTGCTTACAACATTAGGCCAGCTTATGGTGGGCTTTACTTGTTTTTGCAAGTTTTACTTGTTCAGAATAAGTTATGCCATCCCAAACACCCAATGTTTATTCCAAAATGTAAAATATGAAATATTTTACATTAAAACGGCAAATAAACTGCCTATGCATCATTGTGCCAGTGCCACTTTTTCAGTCTTTGTGTGTCCATGTGAAACATCCATGCTTGTGTGCTGAGCTGTGCTCTGTCATTTAATATTCATTCAATAAATCATAAATAAATCCAGATATGAGAAACATAAATCCAGATATGAGCCAGTTGGGAAGTTTTACTTTATTTATACCTCAGAATAAAAATAAGAATACATTTAACTGGGGAAAAAATCTGAGACATTTAACCTTAAGAATAAGATTGGATTTTTTGTTGTATGTTTTCAGGCTGTCTAAATGAATATTACTCATTTTTATACATGTTTTTTTTGTGTGTGCATGTTTTCTTCTGCATTTGATTTTCATACCGCATACTTTTTACAATTTGCATGCTGTCTTGTAGACGTTCCAAGCCACATTAGCCTTAATTCTCAAGAGACACAATGCAACAAATCTGTTCACTTACATTACTGATACGGTGAAAAACTGAGGTAGATTTATAAACTTGCAAAACAACTGCTGACACTACTTACAAACTGTAAGAAACGGCTGCATTTCGTAAATACACCAGACTGCTGGCAAAAAAAAAGAAAAGTGTATTAAGGGACTGAGATCAAGCTCGGTAAAGTGACTTTTTGAGAGTTTTATGGTAAATAGATATTTGCAAAGAGGATTTGAAAAAAAACAACACCAAAAAAAAACGTATTTTTAAATCTAAATAATGCAGAGCCCAGAAGTAATGCAGACTAAATTCTGGATTCTCTACTTGTCTCTTTCATAAACAAATAGACAGATCTCTTGTGCCGTCTTTGTTATGGTGATGATTAGTGTTGCTTTTGATTAACTGAGACACAAAATGTAATGTATCATTGCACAAGAGCATGTAGCATTCTGCAAGAATATAGTTAGTTCAGGGACTGACCTTAAATGAGCTCATAATATCCCATCTGAACTATACATCATTGTGAATGAAAAGGGTCACTTTAGAGAACTGCTCAAACTCGTCACATATAGTGTAACGTTGTCATTTCCCATTACAAATACAGGAATAGAGCTGTAAACAAACAGTATATTGCCTGAGAATTTGCTGTCATTAATATCCTGTATTTAGAGCACAAATATTACAATATTGTGTATGTTTACAATATTATATATATAAACTGTTTCTGTTTGTTCTGCAGGTGTGTTTGGTGTTGAAGCAGATGAAGTGTCAGTGTCAGTGATGGAGGGAGATTATCTCACTCTAAACACTGATATTACTGAAGTACCGAGAGATAGTAAGATAATATGGAAGTTTGGTGATGAAATCATTGCTAGAATGAATGAAGCAGATGGACATCCCTCTACATATGATGGTCCCGGTGCGATATTCAAAGACAGACTGAAGCTGGACAGACAGACTGGATCTCTGACCATCACAAACATCAGAACTGAACACATTGGACATTATAGTGTAGACATCAAGAGCATAGATGCAAAATTGAAGACATTCCAAGTTACTGTCCATGGTGAGTAACTCATGTCAGTCACCTGTGGACAGTTTAGATGCTGTGGAATGATTATTTGTATTTATTTATTTACTGAAGATATAAAAACAACAGCAGCAACTGGCTAAAATGAGTGTAGTGTGCTAATGCTAATTCAGAGCAAAATGTAAGTAATTTCTTTAAAAAATTCTTCACATTATCCAGTGAGGTTTGTTATTTTTGTCAACTTTAAAAAGAGAGAAAAAAACATAGAATGTCTACATAGAAACATAGCCTATGTTTCCATGTGTTAAAAAAATAAATGTTGTACTGAATTCATTTCCCTTTTTTTAATGTATTTGTCACCTTTTTAACCACATGAGACTAGGTTACTGTTAGGGACATTCTGAAATTAAAAGCTTTAAAAAAAAACATTATAAAAAAGATTAGGTGTGTTTTAACCCTTTCTGGAATATTGTATTTTTCAAGCAATAAAAAAAAAACTGTAGTTGTACCATCATTCCCAGAGTCCTCTGCACATGTATATTTCAAGTGTTATTATATGAAAATTACTTTCATCATTAAGCGCTATCTCTGTTTTAAACTTCTTCTGTTTGCTCTCCACATGTTTGTTGTTGAGACAGATGATGTGCAGTCAGTGTCAGTGATGGAGGGAGATTCTGTCACTCTACACACTGGTGTTACGGAAGTAAAGGGAGATGATCAGATACTGTGGAAGTTTGAAGATCAAGTCATCCGCATTGATCGCTTAACCTGTTAACAGTCGCCCTCACTAGTTGAGCTCAAACCCAAACCTGACCTACACCAACTAAAATGGTGACAGTTCATCAACCGTTTGGATTACAGTCAAAACTAATGTCTCCTTAGAAAGATGATAGTTGTCCGTTTGTTGTACAGTGGTCAGAGTTCATTATATTAATACAGAAAAATAGTAAGAGAAGACTAAACACTCTAGAACATAATCATCCATAATTTAAAAATAAAAGATATTCAGGAATTAATATATGAAAATGTGCAAGAGCAGCTTAAAAAAGCGATCACATTTAAGGCACAAGTGTGAACAAAATATAATGCAAATTTGAAGAGGCACCACTAAATATGAGATACAATTGATCTGATTGTTTGAGCATCCAGAGCGACTCTGACTCTGAGATGGTTCTGAATGACTGACCAATCAGCGCTGCAGAAAGGACACGGAGGGCGGGGTTAATCTGTACGTGAGACCCTAGCAAACGTGATAATACCTCTGTAATACCTCCTAGAGTGCATACTTTTGTGTAAAAATGACAGGAATTGTAATTCTTAAATTGTTACATAAATTAGGCAGAATTAATTGATATTGCTCTTAAATTCACACTTTTTGTACTAAAGAGTTTTAACTGATTTTATACTAGATCATTGCCGTTAAAAGTACGCATACATTTGTATGATTGATTTATCTTCACTAGACAAAAACACTTAAGAACTATCAGATTCAATGTTACCTGTATTGTTGCGATCTCTTGATACGAATTAAAATGAGGTTGTGGCTGTGACATTGTGGCCATAAATACTGAAGCTTGAGACTTCAGCCTTTCTAATGTCATATTGCTTGTCAACGTTAATTAGGGCTCTAATGGTAAAAGCATGCAGTAAAGGTAAACAAACAAATTTAGGAACCAGCGATGGTCTCGTGCAAGTTAATGGATTAAACAGCGCTGCTGACTCGAGATGGAGTAGGCCTAACATTCATCTGAACGATCAAACCCGAGAGCTCACCATCAGAAACATCCGAAGAGATCAGTCTGGAGATTATAAAGTGGAGATCAACACCAGCAGTATGATTTTACACAGAAAATTACGTATTAATATCAGTGGTGAGTAGATTAAACTTTCTATAAATGTTAAACGGTTTTAGAGTCATGTTATTCTGTAAACACTACTAGTAGGCCTAGGCTAAACAACATTTAATATAGATAAAAAAATCTTCTTTTTTTTTTTTTTTAGGTAGGGTGGGGTAGTTTCAGTTTGCTTCTCTGGTGCCAATCATTAAAATGTTTACACTTACAAATATATTGAACACTTACATATTATACACTTACACAAATATTAAATATTGTTTTAAAATAGAAACAATCCAAATAAAACATACAAAAGAGGTGAAATAGGCTATTTTATTTATTTGACTGCATGGAATACGGCCATCAACCAACATCAGAGAACAGGGAGCAATACTGTTTAATGACTGAAATAGGCTATTAACTTTACATTGAACGAGTAGGCCTAGTTCAAGAATATAGGCTATTTTTGATCGAAGGCTGACAGAAAAAAGGATGTGAATCCCTGCTCTATTTGAATGTGTTTTGTTTTTTTTCTGAGAATTTATTGGACATTTTCTGACAATTCGTCTTTCTGAGCCTGAAGCGCCCCCTAGAGGAAGAATACATTACAAATCATACTGTTATCACAATAACGCGGATGCATTTGAAATATTGCTGCTTTTAAAGATTGAACTGATAAAATATATCTGTAATTAAATGCCACCAAAAATCTGTATGTATATATATATATATATATATATATATACATACAGATTTTTGGTGGCATTTAATTACAGATATATTTTATCAGTTCAATCTTTAAAAGCAGCAATATTTCAAATGCATCCGCGTTATTGTGATAACAGTATGATTTGTAATGTATTCTTCCTCTAGGGGGCGCTTCAGGCTCAGAAAGACGAATTGTCAGAAAATGTCCAATAAATTCTCAGAAAAAAAACAAAACACATTCAAATAGAGCAGGGATTCACATCCTTTTTTCTGTCAGCCTTCGATCAAAAATAGCCTATATTCTTGAACTAGGCCTACTCGTTCAATGTAAAGTTAATAGCCTATTTCAGTCATTAAACAGTATTGCTCCCTGTTCTCTGATGTTGGTTGATGGCCGTATTCCATGCAGTCAAATAAATAAAATAGCCTATTTCACCTCTTTTGTATGTTTTATTATCCTAGAGATTCACATATTTTTGCTACTTACAGATATGTAATATTGGATTTTTCTGAATAAATAAATTACAAAGTATATATTTTCATCTCATTTGTTTGATAGGGATCTCTTTGTCAACTTTCAGGACTTGATTTTTTGGGTTATATTTATGCAGAAATATAGACCATTCTAAAGGGTTCACA